CATCAAATAAATGTCTTCAGTTAGGGGAATATTGGATCTTCTCAAATAGAATGTAGATCTTGATGGCCTTGTTCGGTGAAGAATGAGGGAAGAATAGAAACGACATATATTTGTTCTTAACTATCAAAGCACATATCATAAAGGTTGTCCCACTCCACCTGTGTTATGGTGTTATCATGGCAATGCACCATACTCCTAGTACCAGAATAAACCCTTGGGCAATAGTGATTATTTCTCTAGAGCTTATTAGCAGATACAATTGTACGAACGGCCACATTGTGTGGGGTAGTGCAGTTCAATATTTGATTTTTGCCGTATTTAAATACAGGCACATGTCCATACGCTCAAAGAATATGATGTAAAAATGATTTCAAGAATTAATACTCTTGTATCCTTTTTACACTGTAACAAATCCCTTTGGTGTACACAGAGTTCATTTTCTCACGAGATAAGAGTTTCCCAACCTCTCCTCTTCCTTTTCAGACAGCCTGAAAGGGACATGCTGGCTCAACATCCAGGACAACCGCTGTGAGGTGAACATTAATGGGGCCACCCTGAAATCCGAATGCTGTGCCACTCTTGGAGCTGCCTGGGGGAGCCCCTGTGAGCGCTGTGAGCTAGGTAGGAGCCTGACCAGGCCCCCAGACCTGTTGATTGGAATGTCATCTGGGTCAACAGACGTTCCTTCTCACAGTGTATCTTTAGTGAGGAAGACCACTATGTTGTAGTCTCTCCAAAATTGTCTTCCCAGGTGTGTAGCTGAGTTTTTCTGGTCCTGCCTGGCCCAAGGTCAGGACAAATCTCTCTCACCCGCCAGTTCCACAGCTGCTCAGACCCAACCAAGTAAACACACAGAGACTTATATTACTTATAAACTGTATGGCCTTGGCAGGCTTCTTGCTAACTGTTCTTATATCTTAAATCAACCCTGTTTCTATTAATCTATAAGTTGCCACGTGGCTCATGGCTTACCGGTATCTTAATATCTGCTTCTCATCGTGGAGGCTGGCAGCGTCTCTCTGCCTCAGCCTTCCACTTCCCAGAATTCTCTTCTCTGCTTATCCTGCCTGTACTTCCTACCTGGCTACTGGCCAATCAGCATTTTGTTTATACAGAGCGCTATCCACAGCACAGGTGAAATTCATTCTTTAGAAATTTATATTTGCGTTTTCCATCAAGTGTGAGCAGACCACCTAAGTCTCTTAGATGTGGAAAGAGAATTGGCTCAAACGTGGTGTCCTCGTTTGGATGTGTCCCGGGGGACAGGATGGCCTTGTCCTTGAGGCTTTGATTTGTTTGCTTTTAATTCATTTGTCAGTTTGAGCAGAGAGCAATTGACGGGGAAATCATTTCAGTCTGGGTCAACAGGGATGGTGTCAGCAGCAGAGCAAGCGGGGAGTTTTCTGAATTGGAGACAACTGGTCCCTTGGCCTGGGTGACCCAGCTTCAAGTTTTAATTCCTTCGTACTGAGCCTGACAAATGTATTCTTCTTCTGTAACGAAGTAAAATTCTGCCCTGTTGTGCTTCCAGACGCAGCTTGCCCAAGAGGGTTTGCCAGGATCAAAGGTGTGACTTGTGAAGGTGGGTGTGATTCTTGAGTGAAACAAGTCCTTAAAGAAGAGCTCAGAATTCCCATTCCCTCTCAAGGAGCTAGTCACTCTTTTCCAGACCCTTGAAATTTCAATTAAAATGCACTCAGTGTAATCAACACAGTGCTCTTAGGAAATAGCTTTGAGGTTCCCATTTCTCCTCTTCCTACAGTTCCCAAGGAAGTCCCCAGCCTTCAAGGCCCAGAACAGCTGGCAAAGGAGCATGTCTGGGCTGCACTTTTATGGACAGCATGGCTGTGGCCGTCTGCACAGCTGGTGCCCAGGAAAGCTGGTGGCTGCGCTGTGGAATATTTTTGCTTTAACTAAAGTAATAATCCACACCATGCTGTTGCAGATTGAATACTCTACACAGGAAATGAGGCTACACCTGCTTTTTCTATTAGCAACGTCTTTACCCTTCTGCTTACTGCATTTCCCCACAGATGTTAATGAATGCGAGGTGTTTCCTGGCGTCTGTCCAAATGGACGCTGTGTCAACAGCAAAGGCTCTTTCCACTGTGAATGCCCTGAAGGCCTTACGCTGGATGGAACGGGCCGTGTGTGCTTGGGTAAGATGCATGCTTTCCTGTCCACATGCATGAAGTTAACCATCATGGACTTGTCCTCTGGGCCAGTCCAAAACCAGAGTCTGTACTGGAGAAATTTGCTTTAAATGAGATACAGTGTGAGGGGAAAATCACTCCAAGATATTAAAATGTGTGCTTTATTAAAATAGTTTCTGTTTAAAACGTACTTTTACAAGAAAAAAAGAAAAACTGTCATTTAAGCTTTGGTTTCTGAAACTTTAGACAAATTGAGTTACTCTCACTATATTCACAAAAGGAAACTAGACATATTTTGAACCTAGAATTTTAAAAGTTAGCATGTACCAGCTGACTGCAACCATACTTTCCAGATAAAAGGGGGAAGGGAGGGACAAAGGTGTGTCAATCATACTGCTCCCTCCTCTACCACCATTAAAGTACAAATTTACTTCTTCTTTTTTTAATAGAAATTTATTTATTTATTTGTTTTTGTTTTGTTTTTTTGTTCTTGGGTTTGTTTTTTTGTTTTGTTTTTTCAAAATGAGGTTTCTCTGAGTAGCTTTGGCTGTCCTAGAACTCACTCTAGAGGCCAGGCTGGACCAGGCTGACCTCGAACTCACAAAGATCCGTCTGCCTCTGCCTCCCAAGTGCTGGGTTTAAAGGCGTGTGCCACCACCCACCCAGCTGCACATTTTCTTAATGCTTTGTTTTCTAAAGATCTAAAATGCTCAGACTCCTTGTCAACACTGTAGTGATGGTGGTTTCACCTTAGTCTTTATCGATGCCATAGCTGACAGAATTTGAATTTCATAATGGAAAGAGAAGCTTTCGTTTATTTTGTGTTATATGTAACCAAGACTTTTTCTTTTAAAGATAACTTTTCCCAATAAGCTGTGGAGTAGTAAAGTTTTTGAAAGGAGTAGGGTTGGCACAGGACACACCAAGACCAAGTTCTCAGCTCAAAGGAGATTTATTTGCCCCTGAGGAACAAAGATACAGGGGCTAAGAGACAAGGGAGAGGGGAGAAAGGGGGGAAGGGAGAGGGAGAAGGAATATTTGACCTGGAGGCCTCTGGATAGAGAGGAGATCGACATGACCCATAGGCAAATGGCAGTTTATAGGTGGAAAATGGGAACCCTGTGTTAGGATGAGTTGGTTTATTTTAACTGGGCATGTTAACTGGAGTGCCAAAAGGGGGTTTTTGATTGCTGGACCTCAATACCTTCATAGTTGGACCTAACTAAATCCTTCACATCTTATAAAGATCCTTCCTTCCCTAGTGGCCGTGCTGGGTCAAGTCACCTCAGAGACCAGTGTTTGGGAAGCTGTGTCATTAGACTCTGGGAAGTGGTATAGTGTGTGACTTCATGTTCATGTAGACACCCTGCATGGAAGACTCAAAATGAAACTTTACCGTGCTTGCTCTTATAAAATGCTTCTTCTCAGTTTCGATTCTGGGAAATGTATGTAACTCAAGGGTAAAGACGGACGCAGATATGATGTGACCTTTGGTTGAGAGCTTGGAAGACTCAGGACCAACAATAACTGACTCAGTAAACTTGTCTTTTTGCCATGGTGACCTTTGCATCAGGGAAGACCTTCCCCTTGTGAACCAGGTTTCAAGCTCACTTATGATGTCACGTCTCAGAATGCTTTCGCCACAAATATCATTTTGTTTAGCTAAGAAAATTTTTCTCTGAATCTGTTATCCCTTTCTGTCATTAGGCAGTGTGTGACTGGAGTTCTGCCATCTTTCTGTTGACCAGCACATGAGCATGTTGTCCATAGACCTATGGTACTATCTCACCCTGTCGTGTGGCTGTTCATCGCTGTGCTGAGTCCCTGAATCACTCAAGCTGGGCATTAACATACAGTTTGGAAAATGCTCATTCATTTAAATAAATAATTTGGCCCCTTCCTGGTGAAGAAGTTGATGGTTCTACCTGGTTCAGGAGAAAACCCAGATCCACAATTTGTAACAACAAAACAAAACCCATTTGAAGTAAAAACATAATGTTTTAGTCAAGCAGACTCAGTAGATTTTTGCCGAGTTTCAAATGGGGTGCAGCAGTGAAGTAGCTGACCATTGCTGGACCCTAACAGGACTCCCGTAAGATGACTTTAAGCAGATGAAAAAGAAGGGGCCACCACTGAAATTATTTTTTTCTGATAAGGAAAATGCAAGACCATGATCGTGGGCTAGGACATGGAAGAGCCATGTCCTCAGGAGAGTGTTTCAGGATTCCTTGTGAGAGTTAATCTGCTAAGAACCCACCTTCACTCCCGCTAAATGACTGTTACTATGGAGACCATTCAAGGTGGTGACAGACTGGTTTCTCATTTTCAGTCTGTCTCCGGGCCCACCATCATGCACTGACTGCTTTCTTGAGTCGGGCTTCACACAGCACTGCCATTGATGAGGAAAGAATCCTTTAGGAGATGTGCAGTTTTAGCTAAGTCCAGGTAGCCTGAGGCCCCCAGTGTGAGAATCACTGAACAGATGTGGGATAGGGATGTTGAGTGAATCTCCCAACCTAGGCTCAGACTCTGCTTGTCGTTGCAGATATCCGCGTGGAACAGTGCTTTCTGACGTGGGATGAGGATGAATGCGTCCACCCCGTTCCTGGGAAATTCCGCATGGACGCCTGCTGCTGTGCAGTTGGGGCAGCTTGGGGCACAGAGTGTGAAGAATGCCCCAAACCTGGCACCAAGGAATATGAGACCCTGTGCCCCCGGGGCCCAGGCTTTGCTAACAGAGGGGACATCCTCACGGGGCGTCCGTTTTACAAAGGTAACTGCGAGCTGGTCCCTGGCCCATCACACGTTCCAGGGCACTCTCTGCACTCTTTGAGAAGGGGTTTTGTTTTCAGCCTGTGATTTGTGGCCAGCCTAAGGACCGAAACTCTAAATTGCATGCAAAAGACAGTATTGATAGAAAGCTGGGAAAACAGAATGCTAATCATTCTCTTCCTCTTCTTCTACTGTCCTGTATTTTCTTTGACAGAGCGTGAGGAGAGGTAGCCCTGCCCATGCCCTCAGTAGCAGAGAGATCTCTGCCCCCACTGTTCTTCATAAACAACAGCTAGGTATACAGGAGTGAGGCTCAGTTGAGGGTGAAGAACCTCTTCAACAGTGGAAATGTTTCCCGTGCCATTTCTGTAGTCATTTCAGACCCCGGGAGCGGTCCCTGTCCATGGCTGCATGATTGTTGTTTATGGAGACAGACTTTTAAGTTAAGGCAATGGGGAGGACTCATTCCTGCCAACCAGCTCCACAGTTGGGCCTCGCTCTGTTTGCAGATATCAACGAGTGCAAAGCCTTTCCCGGGATGTGCACCTATGGGAAGTGCAGAAACACAATTGGAAGCTTCAAGTGCCGTTGCAATAATGGCTTCGCCCTGGACATGGAGGAGAGAAACTGTACCGGTAAGATGGGTTTTCTCCATTAATGAAACCTCGCTTTCTTGCCTTTACAGTGAGTACACTGCCTTCAAAAGACCATCTTCTCAATGAGAATCTCTCTCTCTTTCTACCCCCCCGACACATTATTATTATTTTCTTTTACTGATCTTAAAAGCCAGTTCTCCGAAGAATTTTGAGAGCTACAAAATAGCCCAAAATGCCATTGTTTTGATGTGAAAATATGATCTTCAAAATATATGAGGACTAAAGAATATAGCCACTAAGAGTTTGTGTGTGTTATTTCAACCTGAAGAATATTCTAGTAATTGTTTTAGTTTATGATAGACATGTTTTGACTTGCTTTCCTCCCCTGCAAACAGCATTCTTTTTTTTTTTTTTTTTTTTTTTTTTCTGGAGCTAAGGACCGAACCCAGGGCCTTGCGCTTGCTAGGCAAGTGCTCTACCACTGAGCTAAATCCCCAACCCCTGCAAACAGCATTCTTAACCCCATGAGATTGAAAAGAGATGAATTTAGAAATGTTTCTGTTTGGTGGCATGCAATGGATTACAAAGGCTTGACCAGAAATGCAGAAGTTGTCCAGTGATCACACAGCAAGACTTCAAATTTCAGCTCATCCAAAGACACAATGAGCCTGGTGTGCTGGCGTGTACCTCCATGCCAGCCTTTGGCAGGCGGAGGTTGGGGGAATATCTGTGAGTTCCTGGTCTATGCAGAGTACTCCAGGACAGTCAGAGACTCGATACATTAGCAAATATTTTAAAATAAAATAAGATAGTGGCAGAAACATTTCATTCATTGTGACTTTTTTTTAATGGCTCATGTTTTCTTAAACATATTTAATGTAGATCCGACTTCGGTTCTGAAAATGCATTACAGGTGTGAGGGAGTTCTCAAGAACTTTTGGAGAGTACAGATATTATTACTGTGTGAGAGAAAACATGGTAAAACACGACACATAATTTCTCTTTAATTTTTAAAACTTGGTAAGTAAGCACTTGTCTTCCAAGGGCAGCGCAGATCATATGTGGGTTCACTCCGCGAACCAGCTGTGTCCGCACACTCTGACTTGAGGGGTGTGCTGGGTCTGCCTTGGATGCTGCCTCTCTGTCCTGCCAGCCAGCCAACCCTCTCAGCATTAGCGTTCCATGTCCACATGCTGCCTTGGCTGGGGTAGCAGAATGAACTGTCTCTGCACATTGCTGGGCCTTCCTCCCGTGTGAGCACGTGGCCTCCCCACTCGGACCATACAGGGGAGTGGCTGGGTCCATTCTCCATCACTACAACTAAGCCACATTTCAGAACTCAAAGACACCCAGGCCCCACCTGCCGGTTGACCATGACAGTTTTGGCAGTTGGAAAAAGGAATGTGCCTTAGGAAGGAGACGTCCCCTCCACCCGATCTCCTCAGAACATTTCTTCCTACTCTCAGCCCTGGTTTCCCCGAGTCTCAAAAGTGCGGCACCCTCCCGTGGAAAGCCCCGTCCCTCCAGCACCCTCTTATTCTCCTTCTGTGTTTTTCTTCTTTTCTTGAACGTGGGGAGTAGACATCGATGAGTGCAGGATCTCTCCTGACCTCTGCGGGAGTGGCATCTGTGTGAACACCCCGGGCAGCTTCGAATGCGAGTGCTTTGAGGGATATGAGAGCGGCTTCATGATGATGAAGAATTGCATGGGTAAGCTGGGTCAGACCCCCCTGGCTGGCTAGGAAAGCAGCCTGGTGCAGGCCACTCTGTTGCACCTCGGCTGCCTTCAGAACTGCGGCAGCACCCTTGACCGGAAGTGTGCTGAGGACTGGGAGCTGTCAGGGACAGACAAAAATCCCTTCCTTGAACTGGAAGCAACACACAGACTATCTGGGATCAATTTTTTTTTTAATCGATAACATTGTGGTGACCCCCGATTTGTGTTCTGGCTTGCCAGTCCCATGAGAGCTATGCCTTGTAGTTGTGCAACTGAAAAATGTTTAGGCCACTATGAGTGACTTATTGAATTTACTGCATAAGATGTTGCCACTCTCATGGGTTCAACCTTTTCCCGTTACAAAAGAGCATTGTTGTCCACAATGTACTGGTCTGCACTCACGGGCTACATGCAGCCACAGGCCACAGATTAGGCCCTCCTCACTGTAATCTTTTAGGAATCTTAGATTCAAGCTACAAACACTAAATTGACTGGCAACAACCTATGAACCCTCAATCTATGGAGATATAAAAGTAAATGTTGTATGATCCAGATTATTTTGTACATGAAAATTTTCCAGGAGTTTGCTGTATTGAGAGTAGAAGTTTCATGTTTTTCATATTGAAATAACAAGTGAGACTTATCCCTCTTCTGTTTGGATGTGTCTTTATGTTTGAGCCACACACCTGCCTCCTGCTGTCCCTTCTCCCGTACTGTATATGTAAATATCTTTTCCTCCGAGTTCTTTAATGGATCTCACGTTTTTACCTTTCAGACATTGACGAATGTGAACGTAACCCTCTCCTTTGTAGGGGTGGCACCTGTGTGAACACTGAGGGCAGCTTTCAGTGTGACTGCCCCCTGGGGCATGAGCTGTCACCGTCCCGTGAGGACTGTGTGGGTGAGTTTTTTTTCCCCTTCGTATAGAAATCCAGTGAGCACAATGGGTAAAGATCGAGTCAGTTCTAATGGATGTATGACTTTTGTGGCTCCTGTCAACCTGGATATCCCAATTCCCCATATCTAGTTTCTAGAATGTTGGGCACTGGGCTCCTTTCCATGGGAAGACCTCTATGCAAGGTTCATAGGTTCCGTTGTCCAGGAAGGGTGGTGAGTGAGCTACCCAGGACACCTCATGGTTGTTTTTCTGTCCACACACCCATTCGCCTAGTGTGTCAGAATCCACACCTCACCCAGGTCTACACACCCACCCACATAAGGCCGTGAGAGCTCCCTTGACACCTCCCACCTCAAGGTCTTCTGCTAGCATCAAGTCCAGAAGGACGGCAGAGGTCACAGCAGAGTGCTGGAGGCATTTCCCCACTCCAGTTGTTCCCTTGAAATCCACACAGGGTTACCATGTCTAGTACATGTCTAGTATATGTCTAGTACATGTCTAGTACATGTGCTGTCCTGCACCGGCTTAGCCAGGAAGCACCTTCCTCAGCACACCTTTTCCTCAGAACTGTTTGAGCAACAGCTCACCAACGCACACACCTTTATTTATAAGCCAGATAGATTTCTCTGCCGGTACATGAAATGAACCTTAAGCAAAACAGACATTTTTCAGTAGGGTGAATTTAAACTTTTAGATATTTTTATTTTGGTAACAGTGCAAATAATGACTTTACACTGGGGACTGAAGAATTCATGGATGGACATGCTGCAATATAGTGATTCGGGAACCTGCTCCTGAGTCTATCTGTAACAGCTTAGAGTTCACCAACCCTACAGCTGAGAAAACGGCCCCTCAAAAGGGCAATATGTATTATAAAATAAATGTTTTGTGATATGTATACTCAATGACTATAACCATAAATATATGTAGCATATTCTTCTAGGTCATTGTGCGAGTCTGAGATAATTTCTCATTATATCCAGTGGTCACTGAGTCTTAATTTATATTCCTTCTGATGAGTATTTTGCATATGGAAATGGATCACTCTGTTGTCACAGGGTGTTCTCTGGGAACTTTATGATGTACTCCACATATTTTTGCATGAGTTTTTTTTTTTAAGGCATTTGTCCATCTTGTAAAGGCCAAATTGTTTTAAACTAACAGTGGCAGGCTGAAGATCCACATAGCCAGGCACATAAACAGCTTGATGAACACAAACATATGAGATCTTAACTGCCACGACTCTGTTCTCTGGAACCGGCATCTTCCTTCAGGATAATCCAAGTTCTGTAGGCAGCACCTGAACAGCTTTTGAAGACTATGTGGGCACACCAGTGTAAATCCATAAAGTAAATAACAATGAGATTTACTTATGGCATACAATATGTCTGTGTACTTTGTGGTGGCAATGACTAGCTACATGTGGCTATCTTATTGTAATTAGAATTAAATACATACAATTGCTCAGTCATATTATACACATCTCAAGGGCTAGTAGAACATGCAGTTCCATTTTGGAAACTATAGACAGAGAAGGGAATGCTTCCAACACAGCAGAAAGTTGTTGTGTCAGCAATAAGGGAATAGAGACCAGCATTTTTACCAAACATCCCAGATTGTCCTGTTTCCCACTCAGGCGACACCTCTCTGGTGAAGCCTGCTCTTAAAGGCTCTTCTAAGTTTGCTGTGGTGTAAAGCATAATTCTGTTTGTCCTTTCTAGATATTAATGAGTGCTCCTTGAGCGACAATCTCTGTAGAAATGGCAAATGTGTGAACATGATTGGAACCTACCAGTGCTCTTGCAGTCCTGGGTACCAGGCCACACCAGACCGCCAAGGCTGTACAGGTAAGGGTGAGCCGCACAGGTCTGCACTATATCCTAAAGCCTATGGGAGTCCTTGGTACTATAAATGAATGTAAGCAGGGGCCAGATGGTTTGCTGACTTTGCAGAAAACTCACTGGTCTTTTCATAAAAAGTGCTCCAAACTTCATAGCTGTTATATTTCTGGGTTCTTTCCTCCTCAGACAGTGAACTAAACAGAATGCTATATGAAAGGAAGTGAAAGGGATTAAGGGATTATATCAATGGTATAATCTTAAATCAGTACCAACAATATAAAGACAAATTTAAAGCTAGTCATATATTATGTTTAAAAAGAAGATGCAGTAACCGTTCCTTTGCATGGATGTAAATTTGGCGTTTAATGTGCTTGTAATGTCTGCACAGATATCGATGAATGTATGATAATGAACGGAGGCTGCGACACCCAGTGCACAAATTCAGAAGGGAGCTACGAATGCAGCTGTAGTGAGGGGTACGCACTGATGCCGGATGGGAGATCGTGTGCAGGTACAGAAAAGATAAATATATATGCATGCTATGGTTCTTCTATTAGAAATGTGGCTCCAGACTTTATCAAGTAGAGCTGAATGGAGACATTGTATTTGAGACCAATGAAAAATGTTCTTGCTCTCACTGACCATTAACTTTGCGTTGTCAGACATTGATGAATGTGAAGACCATCCTGATGTCTGTGATGGTGGTCAGTGCACCAACATTCCGGGGGAGTATCGCTGCCTCTGTTATGATGGCTTCATGGCTTCCATGGACATGAAAACATGCATCGGTGGGTATCAGGAGCAAGTGATAATGTTTTTATTGTTCTCTATTATTGAGGCCATCATACTGAGTGAAATCGAATGTCTGCCTCCGTCTTCCTCTCTTCCCATATCTCCTCATATGTGTCTCCTCCTTAGCTTCAGGTTTGTTTCTTTTTATCACCCATTGAGTCCAGTTAGTGCCCCCCTTGTGTGCATAGGTGTAGGGCCATCCACAGGAGCTTAGGAACCCTACCTGTGGTCACACCCTTCAAAAAGAATGGTTTTCCCTCCCTCAGTCACTTTCCACTGACCACTCCTCCTCCGTCGGGGCCAGGACCTGGAAATCACCTACCACGCCTATGGTCCAATTTTAGTTGGGTTGATCTTGCATGAGTAACCATGGCTGCTGTGAGTTCATGCATTCGATAACCATGTCATGTCCAGAAGACAGCATGTCACAGCACTCCCTCCCCAGCAAATGAGAGTCTGATACACGTGTATCAGCACACATACACGGAAAGAAGACTTGTTTCACTGTTTCTTTGAAAATCCGAGCCATTTTGCTAAAACCATAAAACATGAAAAAGAAGAATTATTTCAGGAGTTCTTAAAGGCAGGTAGGTACTTACCTGCAGCACGAATCTTTCAAGGGAGCTGTATTTTAAGTGTTATCCGTTTATTTCAGTGCTTTGCTGTTCAGCTTAAAAGGTGGCTTTTAAATTGCGGCGATGAACAGCAGTAACCGGAAAATGTCTTTTCCAGATGTGAATGAATGTGACTTGAATCCCAACATCTGCATGTTTGGGGAGTGTGAGAACACGAAGGGGTCTTTCATCTGCCACTGTCAGCTGGGCTATTCGGTGAAGAAGGGGACCACGGGGTGCACAGGTAGGACCCGGCCCCATGTCTGCTAGACTCCGGCCTCACGGGTTTCAAAGGCTGACATCATCTCAGCGGTCACCATCCCGGGGACCCACGCATCCTAGGGCCGGTCCACCAGGCTGTGACTGCCGTGTGATGGATGAGTAACTTGCCCTTAGCTATACCTTGCCTGATCTCTGACTGAGCCACCCAGTAAGGAGGAGAAGCAGTGGGGTCAAGCCTGCCCTGCTCCTGGTGGATCTTGTAACATCGTCGTCGTTCAGGTGCTCAGCCTGAGTACAGCCCAAATGGAGGGCCCACGTAAAGAAGGGACAGTCACAGCAGTGGTTTTCAACCTTCCCCATGCTGCCACCCTTTAATGCGGTTCCTCATGTGGCGTGGCCCCCAACCATACAGTTATTTTTGTTGCTACTTCGTACCTGTAATTTTGCTACTGTTATGAATCGTAATGTAAGTAGCTGTGTTTTCCGATAGTCTTAGGCGACCCCCGTGAAAGGGCCATCCTACCACAAAAGGGAGTGCGGCCCACAGGTTGACAACCACTGTCCTAAAGCATCCAAGTGTTCATTTGATTCTCAATGTGAAACTGGTAATGCATTTAGATCCTATTTAGACTTTTACTGTCTTAACCCCCCTGCTTTCTTCTCTTTTTCTCTCTCTTTCTCCCACCATTACCCCTCTCTTTCTCTCTCTCTCTTCACTGTTCTTGCTTAACCCATGCACTTTATCTTCCGACTCCTCTTTTTGCTGTTTATTTTTCTCCCTTTGCATACAGATGGGACTAGGAAACGTCATGATAAGGTCTGGCGAGTTGTCTCCTGATGTTCACTTTAAGGTCCCCATATGGTGTTGTGTGGTGTTTTGATTGTGTTCTGACAAATAAAGCTTGCTTAGAGTTAGAGGGCAGAGCTAGCCACTAGCTAACCATAGAGGTTTGGAGGACTGTAGAAAGAGGAGACAGGAAGTAGTAAGGTGGGGCTAAGAGAGGATCTGAATCCTTTTGTTTGGAGGAACTGGAAAGGGGCGAAGCGACTGTGGCTGCTCCCCTGCCGCTCTGAACTTTCAGATGTTTACCCCGATATTTGACTCCTGGTTTTTTTATTGATAAGATTAATTAGAATAATACTTCAGGATGACATTTTGTTCAAGACAGCATTAAGGAGCTCAGGCTGCAGGAAACACTTTAGCTGACCATCCAGGAAAAGGCAGAGAAGAAGAGGGATGAGGGCAGGACTTTACCCCTAGTAAAGGTGATAGAAGCCAGTCGTGTGTGCACAGTGTCAGTTCAACAGTGGCAGCTTGAAGTCATTGAGCTGCTAGAACAGATGAATCATAGTCTAGAAAGTTTTGGAAACCAAATCTACATAGTTGTGCATAGTACAAGTGTATGTGTTATATATGCACACATTCATACACCTGTGTATTGCTTTGCAATAGAGATATGTCGCAAGAAATGCGTCCTTAGATGAATTTACCAGCATGCTAAATCAAAAAACATACCTATTCCAGCACAGCTCCAAGTCTAGGCGTTATCAGCTTATAGGACCACCGTCAATGGTGTGCGATGGCCCAAACTGTCATTAGGCTGCACGTGACTGTATATATCTGAATAGATCACACATATGTGTCTCTGTGTAATATCTGTGAACAGAAACACACACTCGTAAGCATTGGTCCCCTTCCAGGAATGTTTGGAAGAGAACATTCTTCACATATTCTTAGATAAGAAATAAAAAGCAAAAGGGCACACGTAA